GGGGTATGTCTCTATGATTCAGTGCTGATGGAATCACTCTTGGTCTATCTGCCTGGGATATAATCCCCTGCTTCAGTAATTAAAATAATAATAATAATAATCAGTATTACAAGGAAAATGGTGTACAGTAAAATGTAATCAATTCTGTAGGAGCTTAACCATCTGTTAAAGGTTAAATCCGTGAAGAGTATAATGTCAGGGTATGGAGGATTTGTCCTTTGATGCATTGGGCTCTTTAATCTAGCCTAATGTTGAGGCTGAAGTAAACATGTGAGAAGGGAGGAATTCCCACAATCCGCAAGTAAAATGAATGTTGTCTTCAGTCTGGGTAAAAGCTATATCCTTAGGGGTCCCCACAGATCCTTATGATGTTTGAATCCCTCTGAAACCACCATCAAACCACAAATTCTATCTACTTGCAAAGAATAAACCATCCAATTGAATGATTATTGCTGCTGCCATGGTTCGTAAGCATGGCCCTGAGGCATAAATTCTCATGGAACTTTTAGTTTTTAAATGAGACCTCCCTAAAACCAACTTCAAATCACAAACTGCATTTCTCTGCATAGAATGTGACATGACTATTATGCATCTAATAATTGGTGGTGCTGTTATAGCTCCAAAACCTGACTCTCAGTGTTCAAGATTTTATATAATATCTACTTGAAGCCATCATTAAAACGTATAGCACATTCATCTACACAAATGAACCATTACAATGACATATCTGATTATTTCTCAGTAATGTCATAGTGCAACAATTCCAAGGCATGGGAAAGAGATGCTGAGTTCTGTGTGTCCATGCATGGGTGACTTCTCAGACAAGACATCCATGTGACTTTGGACAGCACAGATATTAAAAAGTGGGGAAAACAAAATGGAATCCTATAATGCTTTGTGGATTGAAACAACATCCCTCAGTAAGGGTCTGAATCTCATCCCTCAAATAGGTATGGAGCCATTCCATACTATATCTCACATCCTAATGCAGAGGCATGGTCTGCAAGGATGTGATGTTGGAGGATAAAATAGCCACTGGGAGATTAAGGGAAAACATGGTTGAATGATTATGGAAACAGATTTCAACTACGATTTGACTGCAATTTCAGGTGGATCCCATGAAGATCTGTTGCTTGAATCCCTATAGCCATTTTTGTGCTATGGTGGTGCCAAAAATGATCAGATCTGGTTCATTCAATGCAGATGGGTATAATTAGTTTTTTTTTTTCAGGTAACCCAGTAAAATCATGAGAATCCATGAGCATACATGCCCCAGGTCTGCTTGTCTTTATTTATTTAATTTGTATGCTGCCTGACTCCTAAAGACTCTAGGCAACTCACAACTAAAAACATTAAGAAAAAGAAAAGGAATAAGAGAGAGGGGAAAAAAGAATAAAAGGTGACAAAGATGTCAAGATCCAATCAGGAATGAAAAGGAAACAAAATCACACAGTGGGGAGGTGGGGCACATGCATCCTCACCAAAGGCCTGGGAGAAGAGTCAGGTCTTCAAGTCCCTTCAAAACACCAGCAGGGATCTTGGGGTAACCTCATTCCAGAGGACAGGTGCTGCTACAGAGAAGGCATGCTTCCAAGGTCCCGTAGATGACATTGTTTAATGAAAGGAACCCAGAGTGTGCTAGCCCTGCTAGATCAAATCAGCTGTGCAAATACTGTGGGAGAGGTCAATGTTTTATTGTATGAATAGTGCCCAAAATAATTGGATTTATAATTATTATGATTTGTGCAGATAAATGTGATCTTTTCATCACCAGTAGTTTCAGCAAGGTCCCATGTAAAAATTGCAAGGAATTTTGATAATCCACATTTAGATCCTTATTTTTCCTTCACTGTGGCTCCAGTGAATACAAGAGTACATTCTGTGTGAAAGATTTGCCTTTTTTGGGTGGACCCCATGTAAGAAATATGAACACCTATGAAGATCCAAGTTGGTTGCTGCTTGTCAGCATCAAATCTATCCACTGCCATAGCTCATCTTTTCCATTGGAAAGTTGGGTCTCTGTGGTATAAGAATAAAAACAGCCTCTTTACAACTATATTGACAGGTCACGCTTAATCAGATCAGGTAAAGACTAAGCAGATGCATTCACACATTACTTTTATGTCTGTGTCTTTGTATCTTGCGTGAACATAGCCTGATCAGTTAGTTTGTGAATCACTGTATTGTACACATCCAAGAACTGGATTAAGCCTGTTGAGTGAATGTATCTTTTCCCCACCCTCACTCTCCTTACAAAACCGGGTTAAGCCTGTTGCATGAATGTATCTTTCTCTCCCTCCCCTCTCCCCCCATTCTTGCTCTCCTTACTTCTTCACCACATCTTCCTCTGTCCTGTCTTTCTCTCCCTCCCCTCTCCCCCCATTCTTGCTCTCCTTACTTCTTCGCCACATCTTCCTCTGCCCACCGAGGGGGTTAATCGTTCTGCCAATCCTCGTCGCAGCAGTTGGGGCTCTGGCTCGACGGCGCTGTCCACCAATGCGGTGCTGAAATGGCAAGCGGGTCCTCCTTTGCTGGCTCGCTCTGCCAACCGAAAGTAGTTGGAAGTCTAAGTCAATCGATGATGAAGACGCACAAGGGAAGCAGCGGAGGCTGCAGCTGAGGCGGAGCCAGCCAGTGCTCTGTCGCGTCCCTTCTGAGCCCGCCGATGTCTCTTCTCGATCGAGGCAGCGGGACTTCCCGCTGGGAGTGGAAATATTGTACGGGGAAACTAAGGCTCTCCCAAAGCCTGCCGAGCTGCACTCCGAGTTGGGGAAGGCTCGAGGTGTTGCTCCTGCTAAGTTCTTGCTTGGCTTTGGCTCCAGCTCCTGCTCCCGCTCCCGCTCCAGCTCCAGCAGCTGGCCAGCTACGCTACTCGGTACCCGAGGAACTGGAGCACGGAGCCTTTGTGGCCAACATCGCTGAGGACCTAGGTCTGGATGTATCTGAATTATCAGCCAGGAGGTTTCGTATTGCATCCCGGGCAGGGAGTAAGCAGCACCTGGAGGTGAATCTGGAAAATGGGATCCTCTTTGTTAACGAGAAAATAGATCGGGAAGAGGTGTGTGAGGGCAGCAGGGCCTGCCTCCTGCACTTGCAGCTGGTCATTGAGAGCCCCCTTGAGCTCTACCGCATCGAGGTGGAGGTGCTGGACATCAACGACAATGCACCCAGGTTCCCTTGGCAAGAATATGTGCTGGAAGTGACAGAATCAGCGCTACCTGGGGCCCGCTTTCCTCTGGAGAGTGCACAGGATCCCGACGTGGGCATAAACTCCCTGCGTACCTACAGACTCAGCCCTAATGGCTTTTTCTCACTGGAGGTGCAGACTCGCAGCGACGGCAGCAAGTTTGCAGAGCTGGTGCTGGAGAGAAGTCTGGACCGAGAGCAGCAGCGCAGCCACCGGGTCCTGCTCACAGCTTTGGATGGTGGTATCCCAGAGCGGTCAGGCACGGCTAGAGTTGTGATCATGGTGTTGGATGCCAACGACAATGTGCCAGTCTTTGATCAGTCCACTTACAGCGTAAGCCTGCCGGAGGATGCACCCAAGGGGACTCTGGCCATCAAGCTCAACGCTACGGACTTGGATGAAGGCACCAATGGTGAAATTGAGTATTCATTCAGCGGGCACGCTCCACCAGGTGTGCGTGAGCTTTTCAGTGTGGAGCCCCACACTGGGCAGGTGCGCTTGAAGGGCCAACTGGACTATGAGCGAGCTGACCTCCATGAGCTATACGTGCAGGCCAAGGACCGGGGTCCCTCTGCAGTCGCCATCCACTGCCGGGTGCTGGTGCATCTCCTGGACGTCAATGATAACGCACCGGAGGTGACCCTCACCTCAGTCTCCACACCGGTCCTGGAAGACGCACCTCCAGGCACAGTCATAGCTGTAATCAGCGTACTGGATAGAGATTCAGGAGACAACGGCAAGGTGAGCTGCGAAATCCCGACCGATATACCCTTCCAGCTTCAGTCGTCTTTCCACAACTATTACGCACTAGTAACTACTGCACCACTCGACCGGGAGGCTGTGCCCGAGTATAACGTCAGCATCACCGCTCAGGATCTGGGGTCTCCAGCGCTGACCACCAGGAAGACCCTGACGGTCCAGGTGTCCGATATCAACGACAACGCGCCCCGCTTCCTGCAACCCTCCTACAGCGTCTACGTGACTGAGAACAACGCTCCGGGGGCGTCGATCTGCTCTGTCAGCGCGCTGGACCCGGACTGTCAACAGAACGCTTACTTATCCTACTCCATCGCGGACGGCCAGATTCAGGGCATGCCCGTAGCCACCTACGTCTCCATCAACTCGGACAGCGGACACATGTATGCTCTGCGCTCCCTGGACTACGAGCAGATTCGCAACTTCCAGATCCAAGTCGTGGCTCAGGACGCCGGCTTCCCGCCGCTGAGCGGAAACGCCACCGTCCACATCTTCGTGCTGGACCAGAACGACAACGCGCCCCTGGTCGTGGCTCCCGTGCCCCGCAATGGCTCAGTGGCTGTGGAGGTGGTGCCTCGCTCAGCAGAGCCCGGCTACTTGGTGGGGAAAGTCTCTGCAGTGGACGCCGATGCAGGGCAGAACTCGCGGCTTTCCTACCGGATCATCCAGGCCACCGATGCCAGCCTCTTCAGCGTGGCCCTCTACACGGGCGAGATCCGCACCGTCCGCGCCTTCCTGGCCAAAGACGCCCCGAAGCACCGTCTTCTCGTCCAGGTGCGGGACAACGGGCAGCCCCCGCTCTCGGCTTCCGTGGCCCTGTTGCTCTCGGTGGTGGACAGCGTGCCGGAGGTGCTCTCGGACTTCCGCGAGCTTCCTCCCAGAGGCGAGACCGCTTCTTCCAGGCTTACCCTCTACCTGATCGCCTCGCTGGGCTCCGTCTCCTTCACTTTCCTGGTGGCCATCGTAATCCTCACGGTGGTCAAGTGCCCCAAGGAGCGGCTGACCTTCCCCAACTACGCCTGCTCGCAGCTGCCTTGTGGCGGGGAGGGCGGCGGCTCCGCTGCCTTCTGCTGCTGCTGCGGCGGCAGTTGCG